ATTTTTAAGTCATATTTTTGAAAACCCCTCTTACTATCATTATTATCACTATTGTTGTTGTTGTTAATACTAATAACTTTTTATTACTATATATTTTGTATTTGTATTATTTTATCATTCAACCAATTTTCAGCCTTACACAGGTGAATGGGAGGAAGATAAAGGGTTAGAATGGAAGCCATGATTCGAGACTACTACGGGGAGTTATTCACTTCCAGCCACTCGGAAAGAGATGATCTCTAGTTAGTAGGTGTGGCGCAGGTAGATGCCACCCAAAACAGGGAACTCATTCGACCTAGCTATCACAGCCATTGAAGTGAAGAAAGTGGTCTTGGCCATGCATTCTGACAAGGCACGAGGACCGGATGGATTGAATCTGGGTTTCTTTCAGCACTATTGGGACATCTTAGGTGAGGATATCATCATGTATTGTCACGAACTTTTTTCTAGTGGAATTATTCCAAAGGAGGTAAAAAAACACTCATTGTGTTAAGGGAAAGTTCCCAAAATAGGACTAAAACAGTTTGAAAATTCGAAAATATGACTGACATGTTTTTTATTCCCAAAATAGGAGTAATTACTGTCAAGTTTGAAAAATACTGCCATGTTTGAAGTCTGTTACTGCCAAAACATGATAATAATTAGTCCTATTTTGGGAATAAAAACATGACAGTCCTATTTTGAAATTTTCAAATCTGTTTAGTCCTATTTCGGGTAATATTCCCTTATGTTAATCCCCAAACAAGAAAGACCCCTGAGACTTTGAATGATTGGAGACCGATTGCCTTATGCAATGTGTTAAATTTTTTTTACCAAAGTGCTGGCTAACAGATTAAAAAAAGTTCTGAACCATCTGGTATCCGATAATCAAAGTGCCTTTATTCCGGGACGATCGATAGTGGATAACATTATGGTAGCTTTTGAAACGATCCATTTTTTGAAACAAAAAAGGCAGGGCAAGGATGGTTTTATAGCTCTTGAACTCGATATGAGCAAAACTTATGATAGGGTGGAGTGGGAATATTTAAGAAAAATATGCAGAGTATGAATTTTGATCCTAAATGGATTAACTTAATTCTGTCTTGTTGTTCCACGGTCGAGTATTTTATTCCGTTTGATGGGGAGTTAATTGGGCCGGTTAACCCGACGAGAGGACAACGGCAAGGGTATCCGTTGTCGCCTTATTTGTAATAGCCTAATATTAAATTAGGAATACTTTGTATTTTTGGAAACTCTCATTATTATAAATATATCTGCCAGGCACCCGATTGGGGTAACCTTTCCCATTATTTCACATGGTGTCAAGAGCCTAATTCTCTCTCTCTCTCTCTCTCTCTCTCTCTCTCTCTCTCTCTCTCTCTCTCTCTCTCTCTCTCTCTCTCTCTCTCTCTCTCTCTCTCTCTCTCTCTCTCTTCAAACCCTCGTTCATCATGTCTTCCGAAGCGTTACAGACTTCGTCCGCGCTGCACACCTCCGCAGCGAGTTCCTCCGTCGAGGCCATGGTTAGCTCTGTAGCATCGTCTTTCGCTTCATCAACCACGGTGCCGGTCTCTTCCTCCTTGCTTCACCGACGCAACCGTGACCAACACCAGCGCCGCCGTCTCCTTGACAGCGCCGCTGCAGGTGTCATCTTCTCAGACATGACCGGTTTTGCAGCAGCTTTCTTCTTCGATTGTTGCAGATTTCTCGGGTACCTATTCCTTGTTCCAGAAAATCCCTCCGTTGTTCCCGTGGAGGCCACCCGCCATCTTCAATATTCCTGGCATCTTCTCGACCCCGTCGCCTACTGTTACGCCACAGCCACACTCCAGCCTGGGGTATTTTATCTCCACATACTCCGGTGCACCTGGACTATCTCGGCCGGCATAGCAGTCCCTCGATCTTCCAGTTCCTGGTGCCTCCAATGTACACGGTTGATTTTTAATAATCGTCAAATAATTAATACTGACTATTATCATTGGTTATGGGTTGATCAAACCATTCATTCTTGGATATTTGCTACCCTTACCCGTAATGTTTTAATTGATGTGCATGAACTTAAACATTCCTTTGAGATCTGGGAACGATTACAAAATCGATTCCACTCTGCTAGTCTGGCTAGATCTATGACACTTAGGCATCTGTTGTCTAATTTGAAAAAGAAGGAAAGTCAGTCTATGGAAGCTTACTTAAGGGAAACTCATTTATTAGTTGGAGAATTGGCTGCTATAAATTCTCCTTTGTCCCATAAAGAAGTTCTTTAGACCACACTTATGGGGCTCAGACCAAAATATGAATTCACTATGGGCACTATTTCCCTTTTCCTGACAATTTTCCACCAGACATTCTACATCGGAGCCCGTTAGAGGCCGAACAGAGAGTGCTTTATCTTCGCCAACAGACTGCTCCACCTACTTACCAGGCATTCGGTGTACAAGAACGACGCAATGCACTATGTGGAGGCCGCGGTGGCTGCGGCAGAGGTGGTCGTGGCAGAACTGGGGCGCGGCAAAGATCGCGAGAATTTTCAGTATGGCCAGCAGCCCTACTACAGGCAGGGGCAGCAGCCTCTCGGCCAAGGGCCACAGCCAGGGCAGCAACATCATCAGCCGGGGTTCGGTCAGCCCCATGAAGCACAACAGCAGTTGAGACCACCAAATGCGGGTGCTATAAGTAATTCTTTTTTGTCCACTTTAAATACGAATGCTATATTATTTTGTGGTACTAATGTCAAGTCTGCAGGCTCTCCATCCGCTGAGCGAATTCTTGAGGCAATTCCCCCGCCTGTTGTTTTTCAAATATGATTCTCTGCAGGTCATTCTGCCCTCCATTGTGCTTCACGATTTTCTCAAACGTTTGCTCCCGCACTTCTAACTGGTCAAGCTAATAAAGCCCTGTGGTATCCATACACTGGTGCCTCTCCTCACATGATGCCCTCTAAAGGTATTTTGACAAATAAATCTACTTATATTGGTCCAACTATTGTTAGTGTTGCTAATGGTGCTAATCTTCCTATAAAACATGTTGGTGATATTTCTTTAACTTCCTCTGGCTGCTCACTGCTGTTGAAATCTGTTTATCACGTGCCTAATATTAAATTTAATTTAATTTCAATTCAAAAACTGTGTGCTGATAACAACTGTGTTGCTATTTTTGACAAAAATTCCTTTGTTGTTAAGGACAAAATTTCGGGGGCGGTTCTTCTTCGGGTGGCAACTAATGGCCATCTCTATCCTCTCAGCCTTAGTCCACCATCTCCTCTAGCGTTATCTTCAGTCCTCACCACTGGCCCTGTGTGACATTGTAGATTAAGTCACTGTGGTGAAAATATTTTACGTACTTTCAGCACTCAAAAACGGATATGTACGTAATAACTCTAGTTTCTCTCATGACTGTATTTCTTGTCGGTAAGGCAAGTCTCAACGATTACCTTTTTCATATGCTAATCGCACTACTTCTTCTCTTTTGCAATTAATTCATTCTGATGTGTGGCAGTGTCCAGTTCTTTCTAATTTGGGATTTAAATACTACGTATGTTTTATTGATGATTTTTCTCGTTTTACGTCGATTAACCCATTGCGTGCTAAACCCGACGTTTTTGACCAATTTAAAATAATTAAGACTTTAGTTGAAAATCTCTTCAACTCTAGAATTAAAATTTTTCAAAGTGATGGAGGGGGTGATTTGTTAATTCTACTATGCAGCAATTTTTTAATTCTCCTAGAATTTGTTTTCAAAATTCATGTCCCCAAACTCCTCAACAAAATGGGGTTGCTGAGCGTAAACATCGTCATCTACTTGAACTTACTAGGACAATGTTGATTGAGGCTTCTCTCCTTAGTTATTTTTGGGTAGATGCTATTTTTACGACTGCATATATTATTAATAGATTACCTACTCCACTTTCTGGTTTATCTCCTCATGAAAAATTATTTCAAAAATCTCCTGATTATGCCTTTTTACGTGTTTTTGGATGTGCTTGTTTTCCAAATATTTCTGCCACTTCTTCAAATAAACTTTCTCCTAGGTCAGTTCAATGTGTTTTTCAATGTGTTTGATCCTACTACCGGAAAAACTTACATTAGTCGTCATGTGCGTTTTCATGAAAATGTTTTTCCTTTCACCACTTTGATCTCCTCTGCGTCTGCCTCCTCTTCCTCGGACCAATCTAACTCACCAGAACTACCATTTTCTTCCTGGAACAATTTCTCTTTTAGCCCACATCCTACCTCTCGGCCATCCATGTCTCTCAAACACACCCAGACAAGCAGCCAACATCAACCAATCCACCATAATAGTTCAGCAGCCTCACCTATTATGTCAGAAACATCCGTCTGTCGCAGCACACTCCCACTCCAATTCCCTTATTCCTTGAATCATCCCCGCCTTCCATGCAACTCAGCACCCAGAGCAGCGCCCAAACACCCAGGTCCAGTCCACTAATAGCTTCCAGTTCCCCGTCAACCACCAGCACTTCTTCTCCGGTCAACAATCCCGTCAGCTCGCCACCTTCCACTTCCTTAATCTCGGCCACCAAACACAGCCCCGTGACAGTACCTGAACTGCCACCTATTTCCTCTGCTAATGTCCACCCGATGCAAACTCGGGCGAAATCTGGAATTTTTAAACCAAAATCCATTTTAATTTAAACACAATTGTTATTTCGGCAGACCCCACTTGTTTTTCTTGAGGAAAATAAACAGTTGATAGGGCGTCAGGCTATGGCTGAGGAATTCAATGCACTTATTGCTAACCACACTTGGGATTCGGTGACGTTTGATAACTCTAAAAATATTGTTGGATCTAAGTGGATTTATAAGACAAAATATTTATCTGATGGTTCTATTGAGCACCACAAAGCACATTTAGTTGCTCAGGATTTTAATCAACAGGCTGGTGTAGATTTTTTTGAAACTTGTAGTCTTGTAATTAAACCCACCATTGTTCGTACTGGTCTTACCTTAACGATTTCTTTTGGGTGGGTTATGCGTCAGCTAGATGTTAAAAATGCTTTCCTTCATGGTCATTTAACAGAAGAGGTCTATATGCGTCATCTGCGGGGTTTCATTCACCTCATTATCTTCATCATCTGTGTCGTCTGCGTAAGGCTATTTATGGTCTTAGACAGGCCCCACAAGCGTGGTTTCATAGGTTCAGTAGTATTCTGCTTTCTCATAATTTTTTATGTAGCAAGTCGGATAACTCTCTGTTCATTTATCGCCAGGGTCCTTCAGTTATTTATTTATTATTATATGTGGATGACATTTTTATTACTCGCAATTCCTCTTCTGTTGTCACTGAGTTTATTCATCTTATTGCTTTAATCGACATTTTGCAAAGAAGGACTTGGGTGATCTTCATTATTTTATTGGCATTCAAGCCACTCGTAATAGTAAAGATTTGTTCCTCTCTCAGCATAAATATGTCTCTGACCTTTTATCCAGGTTTCCCTTACACACTCTAAAGACTGCCCGTACTCCGATTGTGTCTCGTACCTCTTTATCTCTCACTGATGGCGAGCTACTTGCAAATGCGACTGAGTATCGCAGTATGGTAGGTGCATTATAGTATTTAACTTTGACAAGACCTGATATTATTTATGCAGTGCATTTAGTTTCTCAGTTTATGCATGCCTCACACATCACCCACCTTTTTGCTGTCAAGAGGATTTTTAGATATTTGCAGGGTACCATTGATCATGGTTTGTGGCTTCAGCCCACACCTAAGGCGACTTGCATTATAGCATACTCGGATGCAGATTGGGCTGGGTGTCCCGACACGTCTCGGACCACCACTGGATATGCTGTTTTTCTGGGGCCCAATCTCGTGTCTTGGAAATCCAAAAAGCAGCCTATTGTCTCCAAATCCTCTACAGAAGCAGAGTATCATGCTATTGCTTACACGGTCCAGGACACACTTCATATTCGGTCCATTCTGTTCGAGCTTGGCTTTCCTGTTACGGCACCGGTTTGTCTGTTCTGCGACAACATCTATGCTTCCTACTTGACATCGAATCATGTTCAGCATGCTCGGAGCAAGCATATTCAGATTGATTATCACTTTGTTCTTGAACGCGTGGCTCATGGTGATCTTGTAGTTAAATATGTGCCTACTAGTCTTCAGCTGGTGGATATATTTACTAAGAGTCTCTCTAGTCAGCAATTTCATTTTTAAAAAGACAACCTGCGCATTGTATCTCCTGCACAGTTTGAGGGGGTGCAATAGCCTAATATTAAATTAGGAATACTTTGTATTTTTGGAAACTCTCATTATTATAAATATATCTGACACTTACCCTATTAGGGTAACCTTTCCCATTATTTCACAATTTGTTCATTCTGATAGCGTGAGGTTTAAGTGCTTTAATTAGAAGGCAAGAAAGTATGGGGAACATTCTGGGTATTGCGGTGGCTAGACAAGCACCGAGAGTTTCTCATTTATTATTTGCAGATGATAGCTATTTATTTTTTCGAGCTCGAGAACGGGAATGTCAGACGATCAAACAAGTCTTGCAATGGTATGAAGAAGGGTCCGGCCAGAAGATAAATTACCAAAAGTCATCCGTGATGTGCAGCCCGAATATAGGAGATGATCTAAAAGATTACATTTGCAATTTTTAGGGGTGAATAATTAAGGAGGTTGACAGGCCACGCTACCTGGGATTACCGGCACTTGTTGGCAGAAAGAAAACTGAGATCTTGGGGTACCTCAAGGAGCGGATTATTAACAGAATTAGCAGTTGGAATAATAAATTTCTTTCTAAAGCAGGGAGGGAGATTATGCTGAAGACGGTCATCCAAGCAATGTCGACATATGCAATGAACGTTTTTCTATTGCCAAAAGAAATGTGCTAATAGAAAATTTAATGAATGGCTCCTGGTGTAAGGGCTCAGATTTAACTAGAAGGGGCATCTGGTGGAGATCATGGCAAGCTCTGTGTATAGTGTATACCCAAACAGAAGGGAGGTTTAGGTTTTCGCTCTTTGCGGGAATTTAATATAGCTGTGTTGGGAAAACAAGCCTGGAGACTCATTAAACATCCGGACTCTCTTGTGGGGAGGATTTTTAAGGAGAAATATTTCCCTAATGGTTCTTTTTTGCAGGCGAAAACCGGAAGCAATCCATCCTTCGTATGGAGCAGTATACTCTATGCACAGGAGCTGATGAATAGCGGTTTACGCAGAAAAGTGGGAAACGGCCAATCAATCTCCGTATGGAGGGAGAGATGGCTACCAGGGACAACCGATGGTATGATACATACACCTCTGCCAAATGGAATTGCAAACATAAATGTGGCTGCCCTATTAAACGAGAACGGGGAGAGTTGGAATGCTGACAGAATCTCAAATTTATTCTCGGAGGAAGAAAACAAAAATATTTTAGCTATACCATTGAGCAAAAGAAGAACCTAGGATGGCATATGGTGGAATGCGGACCCAAGAGGCATTTATACGGTGAAGAGTGGATATAGAAAGTTGAGAGGCGAATATGAGACAGTAGATTGGATAGGGTGGACAAAAATGTGGAATTTTAATATTCCCCAAAAATAAAATGCTTTTTTTGGCAGGTGATGTCGGGCATCCTACCAACAGTTGTGAATCTTCGAAAAAGGAGGGTGGATATTGGAGAAGAGTGTAGGCTGTGTGAACAGGCAACGGAGACGGAATTGCATTTATTCCGGGATTGTCAAGTGGCGAACAATATTTGGCGCTACCTGGGAATAAATTTTGTTCGTCCAGGTGAGAATTTTGGTGTTTGGGTTAAAAGCTTTTTTGATAACATGCAGCAAGACATACTTGGCCAGTTCGTGGTATTTCTTTGGAGCATCTGGAAAGCGAGGAACGAGAAAAATTGGAACAATAAAAGGCTGGGATGGAGACAGGTTGTGGAAGGAGGGATTAGCATGCTAAGTAGTTGGCAGGAAGCTAACCGAAAAGGAATGATGCAGAAGCCCAAAGAACAAGCTCCTCGGTGGAAAAAACCGGCGGTGGGATGGATTAAAGTTAACATTGATGTTGCACTGGATGAAAGAAGAGGCAGAAGAGCTTGGGTATGGGTAGCCAGGGATCATCAGGGCGAATTCTTAGCGGGGGATGTCAAACCATGCAAGCAACTTGGATGGCGGCAATATCTGAAGTGATTGGAATCCGGGAAACAGTCGTGTGGATCAAAAAACAGGGATGGGAGAAGATAAAGATAGAAACAGACTCTCTGTTGGTGGTCTCAAGCATCATTGATCGAGAGGGAGATTCCTATTTTGATACAATTATTGAAGATATTAGACACACTCTTCGCAATGAAACTAGTTTAGAAGTCACTTTCTGTACACGATCCGGAAATAAGATAGCTCACGTCTTGGCTCGGGTTGCCCTTACTTTACCGGATGGTTTATATCTTTATGATCTGGGAAAACTGTCAAATAACTCCCCGTACTATATCAAAAAAGTCAATTGAATACTTGGAGGATTTGATTGACTGATTTAATAGTACGGGGACTCAATTGACTTTTTTGATATAGTACAGGGACCTATTTGACAGTTTTCCCTTATGATCTTCCACCAGATAATATTGTACTCCTTATGGAGAGTGATAAATTGATTTAATATAAAATAGTTTCATTAAAAAAAAACAATTTTCAGCCTTGTAGCTATATGCCTATATGAGTATGCAATTCGTATATCAGTATATTGATTACTATCGTCTTTGTAAATTTTAGAACTTTTTGTATCTTATTTTTGTTGGGAAATGCACAATATAATGTCTTTTGTATGATTTTTTTTTTGCGATGAGTCTTTTGTATGATATTTATAAACACCTTTTCACCCCTAAGTCTCGTATAAATATATAACCCGCCTAGAATTCTAAGGTTTAAGGCTTGGTTGTGGTGTCTTGACACGCCTTTGAACACTGTGGCTCTGTTTGTTTTTTAGCGGGTAGAGTGCTACACGCTGCATTTTGCAGCGGTTTGCAATTCAACTCATTCGGCGGATTGACGGAAACGCTATTATCCAAACAGGCACTGTGTGTGGGTTTTATTTATTTGGTGTAAGCATATAAATTAAATTACTGCTTATGAATCTTGATATGCAAATTTTACAATATTCAATGGCTTTTTACAAAAATTCATCTCAACAACAACTAGAAGATCCTAGTCTCATTCCAAATGATTTTGGGATCGGCTAACATGAATCAATCCATGATATCAGACTAAAAAAGAGAAGAAAGATAAGAAGAAAAACAAAGTAAGATAGAATGGATAAAATAATACGAGTAATAAATATAAGATAACAATAACATAAGAACATAAAAAAGATAAAAGATAAAGAAATAAAAGAGCATAAGAAAGAAAAATGATAAAAATAAAACAAGAACATAGAAAAATAAAGTAGATAAAAGATGGAAGAAAAAAAGAAAATAGACCAATCGTTCACACGAATGTGCCCTCTCCAAAGCCGTACTCTCATCCAACTAAAGAAGACACATATCAGTTCTATTTCTCTGATCCGAGTTCGTTTGGGACTTCTCCCTCTTCTCCCGCCTCTCAAGTTGTCTAATAAATGTTAGGATCGGCCTTGCATAGCTTTTGTTAGATGCAACACTTTCCCAGTCTGACTAACACCGGGTAAAAAGAATGCTAGTGCGTCTGCAGAGCCAGCCTGTGAGAAGTTAGACATCAAGTTCCACTTGTGATACGAATATACGATGAGTAAATATTCACAAGGATAGACCTTTAAGATGTTTTCCATTCATCCTTAAGAAGCATTAATTTATTATTTTCTTTTAAATCTGTACAAAAAAATTATCTACAAGGTGAGGCCTCAAATCACCTACAATATGAATACATAATTCATCAATTAGATTAGACATAGATTGACAAAATATCACATACAGTAGTTAATATGAAGTGTGGAAGAAGTTAATACGTAGTACTCCGTATTAAGACCTGTGTGATTGAGCACCCACGATGAATTTAATATCACATAAAGTAGTCAATATACATCATTCACTCTAATTCTCACGAAAAATATCAAAATGTGATTTGTGAAGATTTAAGTTTACACAACTTAGAAAAAGGAATATAATACGTAGTATTAAATATATGATACAACTAGGAAAGATAGTCTTACATTGGCATGAAGTATGTCACCTCCTTAGCTCCATCCGAGCTCTTCCCCCTCACACCTGAAGGTCGTTTGATTCGTTTCCCTATCTGTTGATAGTTCTTTAAATTTGATGAAAGCCGGTCTTAGAAGAACTCTCACTTCAAGAGCACCCCTAGAAATACCTTTCTCGTCTTTACCTACATTCATATAGTCGTCGTTAAATTTATCATCACATCAGAAACAATGTTATATGAAAAATAAGTTATTACCCGGATGCAAATTTACTGCCCTATTTAAGATTTCTTTGCAATAGTTGCCCCATCTATTTTGATCTTCCACCATCCTCTCGTCCAAACATGCTCCCACTTCAAAGTTCTGTGTTATTCTTCGGAATATTGAACTGAATCTAATGGATTCTGAAATACATTGTGCGAATTGCAATATAGAGGGCTTAACGTCATAAGACGCCCTTACTCTGCCGTCCACATACCCTCCAAGCCTCTTTGTAGCCTCCGCAATTTGTGACATCCCAAGGGTAAGATTTAGGCGATCACCAGACTTCTCTAGACAACAGTAAGTTACAAAAACACTAGGCAAGACTTCTTTTACCCCCTTTAATTCAACCAGCAACCATTCAGGCTCTCTCCATCCTTTCATCTCATACCACGTATCATCGTATTCTGGTTTAAATGCAATTAAGTACAATGAGCCGGCTAAAAACCTTAGAGTTACTTTTCTCTTATAGGCCGTGACTTCCACATCGAAGTAACTAAATTTCTGAGTGCTCTGTTCTCGCAGCAAAAGCAGTTTATGATATTTCGAGAGCTCTACAAATTCTCGAGATATTTCGGTCTCTCCTTGCACAATATTCACTATAAAGCGTGTGTACATCAATGTGGGTGTAGTTGATTCTTCATCTAAATTCAAAGTGTATGTCCCCAAGTACTTGGCCGTGACACTTTCCCGTACAGTTATTTTACCTGGACGGAACTTAGGAGGCTGAACGAAGAGTTAGATACATAAACATTATTGACTTCAACATGAAAAAAACAAAAAGAAACTAAAGAACTTCAGTCACACATACTTCAGAATAGTAAAAGAGATTTCAGTGAAGCATTTTATCAAATGGAAAGATGTGAATAGAATTGAGGTATACTCGATATGAGATTTGATGACATACAAAGCTTCAATCCAACACTCCATAGCTAAAAAAAACTCAATAACTAAGCACATAAATGACAAATGACAATCTATGAGAGGGACAATTCCAGGTACAAGAGGATGAATGATTTAATGGAATACCATACCATGACAGGCTCCTGGTTCCTCTTCGCTCTAGAGCTCGCACTTTCGAATGTCAGTGCTCTATTTCAATGATTCAGGTCGGTGCTTGTACCCGCACTTTGTTTTTTATAACAGCACCCAATTTCCCACGTGGTTGGACAATTATGTCCTGTCTTGCCGTGTTTCGCCCATGTGAAGTTAACCCCACACGCTGATCAATAACACAAATAAGGACAACGTAATGAAGTACTACGTAGTATGGTTCAAAAAAAAAAAAATAAGGATGATCCGGATGGGCATAATGATTTGGTCCAACTGAATCAAACCGAGTCAATTGACATACCTTAGTTTCATTTGGATTCACTAAACTAGTAAAGTAAGCCATTTGATAAGAATTTTCTCAAATTGAATGATTTAGTTTTGTTTGGTTTGAAATTGAAAACCGTAAATCGAGCTGAACAGTTTTTTTAATATTTATTAAAATACTTTAGCATGAAAAATAATTTAGAAAATAAATAAATAAATTAGATATGAAAAATACATGTTTAGCATATGTCATATTAACTTTTACGCATTCCATAATTTTATTATGACAAAAATGACTATTACTCCGCATAACACACTTGTATTTGTAATATTTAATTGGAATTTAATCAATCTAGGACCTCAAAGATAGATAAGTATTCATTCGAGACCTGAAAGATGAAATACATCGATATAAGACCCAGACGATGGAAATGTATCAATTTAGGACTCGAATGATTGAAAACTAATAATTTAGGACCTAAGTAGTCATGAATATTATAATTTTTTGAATATTATTTAGTTTTATTAAACTAATAAATTTTTGTAAAGAAAAGTTTATAAAAAATTAGCAATTGAATTAATAAAAAAATTAAATCAATTGAAACATATGAAATGTTTGGCCCTAGATAAATAGTTTGAATTTTTGCCACTTTTAATCCTCCGACTATTATGTCATTGACACTTTTGATACTCGACTTTGATTTTTTCACTTTTAGTCCTTGAAGTAATTTTAATCTAATTTCTGAATATGTAAATTTTAATTATTAAAAATTGAATTAATTATCCACACGGTGTAACACCGCCCCCAAGTATTTGTACTTTATTAATTCGAGTATTGAACCATGAGGAATGAATAAACACATTTTACGTTGTGTAAATTTTTATCATTTCTTTTATGTGAATAGTAAAATTCACGTGGGACCCACACCGGAAGTGGGGGCCACCCGATATTATCGGGACCACATATTATATTCATCTGGGTCTATATAATATTTATATGATGGTGGATATCCACGTTAGGCTATAGAAACCATGTGAGTTGGCCAGTTGTGCATATAAGGTCCATGTATCGGTACTGGAGTACTAACAGATAAAAGCCATAATAAATTAAGGAGACCGCTAAATTAAAAGTTGGGGAATATGTATTCATTCTAAAAGCCAATAATGATTGTAAGAATGATACATATTTTATTTGACCCGATAAAACGAAAGTTAACTAAAATAGTCCGGAAAATACAACTTTCGAGACCGAATATACACTCGGGGACATGAAGGGATGACCTCCCACATAAGTGGGGGCCACCCCACGTTTTAGTCTTGCAAATGGAGAGGGGAGCCGCACAAGGAAATGGGAAGGGAGCATGAGTTGATTGGAATCAAAACAAATAAAAGGAAATGGGACCCCTCCCATATTATTATGGTGAGAAATGCCAAAAAGGCATTCTCCATCAACCCCAAACCCTTATGCTCTTCCAACCCACCCAAAGAAGAGAGATAAGGTCTGAAGATACTCCATTTTAATCCACCATACACGCACCAAGCTAAGGAAGAAGAAGGAGGGGAAAAGAGAAGTGAAAAGAGGAAGTTCGGGAGGGAAATTTGAGGTTAACAAGGTAAGGACTTCATTAATCTCATTTCTTTTTTCATATGATTATACAATCATATTTCCTACCCCTAGGATGGTTCTACACATTTAAATGTGAAGAATGAGGGGCTGAAGGGCTGGTTTATACCCAAAAACGGATTTAGAGAACAAGTTTACCGATTCGCTGGAAAATAACCTTTTGAAGGTTATTTGGGTTGATATGGGTTTTATGAGGATAAAACCTTGTTATTAACTTGTATAAGGTATTTCAAGGACTTTCACGGAGTTGAAAGGGTCACCGGAATTGTCGTCGGAGTTCGTTGAAGTTCGCCAGAGTTTCGCCGGAGCTCAATAAGGAAGGCTAGAAATTCATAAGCTTCATTAACGTGAGAAGACGGCTATATGCTTTATAACTTTTGCGTGAGGCATGAGATTACCTAAATTAATCAAGAATATGTTTTATGAATTGATTAATGGTATTAAAGCATGTGTTATGTCATGTTAGAAACTATAACATAGTTGGAAAGCATGATATGTAGGTTTGATTAGTGAAATAATTATAAATTGATATGTATGATGTTCCAAGGACCCAAATAGGTATTTTTGGATTAAGGACGTCAAGGAGTAAATGCATGTAAAATTTCACGTTAATCGGACTTCGTTTGGGCGGTCAAACGGGCGTTGACCGCCAAGTTAACTGTTATACCCGACCGGGTATTGGTAAATACCCGACCGGGTATTTACTGGAATTAGCCCCAGGGGCTACTGCCTCCTATACCCGACCGGGTATAGGTGGGTACTCGACCGGGTATTGAGTTTTACACCCAAACAGTCAGTTTTGAATGAGTATAACGTGAGCGTTCGGGTGAGAACCGTCCACGTTGATTATTAAGGATTATTATATGACTATAGGGCTAGGTATTGTCCATAGTTAAAGGAATGAAAGGTTAGCCATATCCAGGTTAGGATTTGGTAAGAAATAAGGTTGGGGTTGAGTATCCCTGGGACGGTAAATGATCCTAAAACTCGGTTGAGGTTGAGTATCCTCGGGACGGTAAATGATCCTAAAACTCGGTCGAGGTTGAGTATCCTCGGGACGGTAAATGATCCTAAAACTCGGTTGAGGTTGAGTATCCTCGGGACGGTAAATGATCTTAAAATTCGGTTGAGGTTGAGTATCATCGGGACGGTAAATGATCCAAAAACTCGGTAGGACATTATGAATGTAGAAGGTAGCTTATGAGCTAGGGATTCGGAAATGGATGGGAAAGGTCGGGTAAGTACCTTATCTCTAAAAGACTCTTTAAGTGAAAATGACCTACGGGTCAAGTATTTTACAAGTATATACGGTATGTATCATCTTGTGGACGGGGTAACGAGGGTTACACCTATACATATATGTATCACCCTATTTTTGGGTCTCGTGTCTGAAACATTAGTTATTCCTCATATAGCCTTCTTGTCACTAGTACTTTCTATGGAGTACTGACCCCTTCGGGGGCCTCACATTTTTTCAGGATAAGGCTAGAGTCCTATTCATGCACATTTGCCTAGGGTGATCATCTAATAAGGAAGACGTGGTTCATGTTTCCATTCTTATTTGAAACTTTGTAATTGATCATGGATATTTAATCAATGTTTTCTATTAAACTATTGAAGGGCCTGCTTGCTCATGTTTGCCACGTGTGGTTAATTATCAAACATATTTTATTTCCGCATTTGTTTGACTAATATATATTGATGTTGATTGTATGGGTTTGCTAATCGGTTTGGCAATAGAATCTATCGGACGCCTTTATGATTTAATAAGAATGAACTACGTTGTTCTTATTGGGTTGTACGGCGGTTGTCTACGTGGCACGGATGCGGTCCGGGGCGTGACAATTAAATGGTATCAGAGCCATCGATTTCTAAACTACTCCCTCCGTCCCTTATAACTTTGCCAACTTTCCTTTTTTGGATGTCCCATTAACTTTGCCACTTTCCCATTTAAGTAAAGAATTTGTGGTTCCAGTTAATTCTCTCTCCTCTGCACAAACCTCAACCACACAGTTTTTACTTTATTAATCCCCGTGCCGGTCAAACTTGGCAAAGTTATTAGGGACGGAGGGAGTATATAATTAACCTTACAATATAGCTATCATAAAAAAGTTTTGAATAAAACCATGAGCAAAAGTTTTTGTACTTAAGGAACCGTTGGAGACCAAGTTATTGACCTCTTATTGTTAAGACGGTACCCTTAACAGTTTGTTGGCCATAATGTTGGACCAAGTGGTGTCTTTTGTACTATTCCGTCAATTGACATTGAAACGAGTCTAATGGCTCATTCCAAATTTCTTTCGGAAATGGAGGGTGAACGGAGGATCACTAGGAGGAAACCTACAGGCCGTGCACCGGGGAGGGCGCCGGGCACGACACACGGGCAGAATCACAGACCTCTAGGGGTAGAGGCCGGGGCCAAGGTCGAGGAGGCCGAGGCAGGGGTCGTGGGTGTCTTACAACGTCGACGGCAAGTAGCACGCGTATCGGTTTGGTGCACCCATCATGAGTCACCGAACCGGACGATTTCGCTTATGCTCCAAGCACGGAGCAAGAGGAGACCCCATATACCGAGGAGGACTTCGATGAGGAAGATGAGGATTTCATGCTTTTTTTTGTAAGGAAACGCCATATTATAATCTCTATTCATTTCAATCACTATATCAGTTTTGAAATAATTTCAAATTTGTAACATGAATGATCATAATCAAACCTGAAAAGAAGAACACAAAATATCACATAAGTATAGACACTAAATAGTCCTTAAATAGTCATTAAACAAGTTCAAAAGACATTGAAATAAAAGTAAAGGAAGTATATAAAATGCAGAACTTAAATCTGGAACTTAACATATTACTTTCAGAAAGCGTCACTCCATGAACAACCCAATTGCATTCATATTATAAAGGAAAAATTGACATTATTAATCCGAACTATTCGCCGTCTGCATTTAATAATCCCTATTATGGATTATTTCTCTGTAGTCCCAACTTTGACTACTCTTTTCTTTAAATAGTCCGTTACACCGTATACCTATCCAGCCCGTAAATCCCCATCACTTTTAAACGTACCAACCAGTTAATCCATCCGGATACTCCCACCAGTTAAACCACTGGTTTCCTCTAACCAGGCTCTTGGCCCTGCTTTAGCAGCTAGAGAAAATCCTCTTGCACCTAGAATCTCTAACACAGTTGTGACATTCAATTCGAAGGTGAACAGAGAGCGAGACACCTATGAATCCA